CTCCCCCAGAGCATTGGGTTCCCCTCTTTTTTGGAGTTTTTGAAGTGCACTACTCAATGTTTTTACTATATCAGAGTTGCTCGACCTTTTTGGTATGGGGGAATCGAACCCAGGGGCAGTTAGCCACTGAGCCACTCCCTAGCCTTTTTATTTTTTATTTTAAGACAGGATCTCACTGAGTTGCTTAGGACCTCACTAAGTTGCTGAGGCTGGCTTTGAACTTGTGATCCTCCTGCCTCAGCCTCCCAAGCTGCTGGGATTCTAGACGTGCACCACCGCACCTGGCCTCAAGCCCAGTTCGAAGCAAGATCTAATCATCCTTCTGTCTCTCTAGATCCACCAATTCTAGAAATTTCATACAATTGGAATTATATACTGTTGGTCTTTTGCGTCTGGCTTCTTTCACTTAGCTAATGTTTTCAGGGTTCATCTATGTTGTAGCCAGTGTCAGCACTTCTTTTTTTTACGGCTGAATAATATTCCATTGTTTGGTTATACCACATTTTGTTTATCCATTGATCAGCTAATGGACATTTGGGTTGCTTCTACTTTTCTGATTATTATGACTCACGTTGCTATGAACAGTCACGTTCAAGCTTTTCTGTGAACATATGTTTTCAGTTCTCTTGGATACGGGCCTAGGACTGGAATTGCTGGATCATATGCTAACTCTGTTTAACCTTTTGAGGAATCACCAGACTGTTCTCCAAAAGTGTTGCACCATTTTAAATTCCCACCAGCAGTGTATGATGGACTATTTTCCCCATCATTCAAAATTCTGAAATAACACCCTTGACTCCTTGGCCATCTCCAGGTAACACCCCATTTCTCCTTCCTCTGCTTCTCTTTATAGCAAAACTAAAAACACATGATCTCTGCTACTTGTCTCTAATTCCCCACCTCTTGTTTCCCCTTCAGCCCTTTAGGGTTAGATGTTGTCTCCAGCAGTCCATCAGTGGCTCTCATCAGGGTCACCAGTGACACCTCTGTTGCCACGTGGTGAGTCATTTCTTAGTCCTCACCGACTGGCCCCTCAGCAGTTTGGGACCCAGCTGACCATTCACTCTTCCTCCATCCTTTCTCCCCTCCTTCTCCTCTTCCTCCTCCTCTTCCTCTTCCCCAGTCACCAGCTATCCTTTTCTGAACTCTGGGGCTCCAGGACTCAGTGCTCAGTCCTCTTCTCCGACAAGGTTCACTCTCCAGGTGATGATAAATCAACCCAGACTTTCGGTTCTATTACCCCAGCATCTCCACCTGGCTATCTATTGGACATTTTATTTTTTTTAAAAAAAAAATATATATTTTTTTAGTTGTAGTTGGACACAATACCCTCATTTCACTTATTTACTTTTATGTGGTGCTGAGGATCGAACCCAGGGTCTCGCACGTGCAAGGCGAGCGCTGTACCGCTGAGCCACAACCCCAGCCCTGTCTATTTGACATTTTAAACCTGTCCTGTCCAAAATAGTTCTCTAGATGTTCCCCACCACATGTGCTCCTCCCACTGTCCTCCCCGTCACCCTGAACGACAACCCCATCCTTGACTCCTTCCTCTTCCAACACCTCACATCCTGTCCACAGCAAAGTCTCTGCACCCACAGTGCATCTTCAGCCCAACCACCTCACCGTTCCCATTGCCACTGGGCTCTAAACCTGGTGGCCCTTCACCGGGATGATCTCCCCTCACTCCCTCCAATTCCCTATGGCAGCCTCCTAAGAGGCTTTGAGTGGTAAGACCAGGCCAGTAACCCAGAACTCCCCAGGGGACCCCAATTCCTCCAGAGACAATGTCAAAGTGCTTACTCAGCCTCCTAGCCCCTCACGATCTGACTCTGCACTGTCCCCACCACAGCCCTCTTCTCTCCCCTCTTGTTCTGTCCAGACCTGCCAGCCTCCTTGAATACGTGATACACTCCAGTCTGAAGCCCCTTCCCTCATGGTCCCCTGTTCAAAATGGAATGAACACCCTTTAGCCCCCTCCCTCCCAATACCCACTCCAGGGTCAAAGGAAGGAGCTGGAGCTACACCATGGAACTGACCAGTCAAGTGTTAGATAGGCCCCTCAGGCTCTGTTGGACCTGGAAGTCAAGGGCTGCATTGTGCTATTTCTTGGAAACTTGGCCCCTCTAGAATCTTTTGGATTTGATTTTTTTTTTTTTTAGTCTCAGTTCATAACGATTCTGTCCTCTGCAAATGCTAAAGTGTATTCACATGGTTTCCTGAAGATCCAGAAAAAGGTTTGAGAAAGAAGCACCCTAGTTGTTCAGAGTGCACAGCAGCCATTCCACATCCAAGGGGCAAGTATCGAAGTCTGATAAGTGTGGTGTGACTGTCTCACATACATCTGGCGGGAGTTAACAGACACGGCCACTGTGGAGCGCATTTTGACTGAAGAGACACCTACCTTTGGGACAGCAATTCCACTTTAAACATATACACCCTGGAGAAACCTGTGCACAGGAAGACCTGTGTAATAATGTTTACCATAGCCTTATTAGCAATGGTGAAAACTGGAAACCACTGAAATGCTCATCAACCAGAGAGTGAATAAATACATTTTAGTTTAGACCTATAGGGGAATCTTTTTTTTTTTTTTCTTTTGGTGATGCTGGGGATTGAACCCAGGGCTTTGCATGTGAGGCAAGCACTCTACCAACTGATGTATATCCCCAGCCCTAGGGGAATCTTTACAGCAGTGAAAATGCATGTACTAGAGCTCTATAAATCAACCTAGGTAAATCTTAAAAAAGCAGTATTAAGCAAAAATAGAAGAAAGTCACAGAAGGATATATACATAATGCAATGCCATTGATATAAAGCTTAAGAGTATCTCCAAATACTATAAATTGTTTATACATATACATATAACAAATTTCAAAGAATGTATTAGCAGGATAAACCCAAAAATTCAGGGTAGTGGTCCCTATGTTCTGAATATTGGTGCCCCCTCCAAATTCCTATGTTAGAATCTAATACCCAAAGTAGTAGTGTGAAGAGGTGAACCTCTGGGAAGTGATTAAGTTGTGAGGGCTCTACCCCCATGAAAAGGATTAGTGCCTTTATGTTAGAGGAGCAGTGAGAAAGTACCATCTTGGAAGCTGAGAATGAGCCCTTACCAGCCTTGATCTTGAACTTTGTCAGCCTCCATAACTGTGAGGCAATAAATTTCTATTGCTCATAAATTATCTAGTTACAGCATAATATCTTGTTACAGCAGCAGGGATGGACTAATACAGTGGTTACCTTTGGCAAGGGGAAGAAATGGGATGTGGGGTTATGTAAGCACATTAATGGCTTCTGTAATATTTTATTTCTTAAGAATGTGAATCATATTATAGACATGTTTTTATATGCCTGATATATTTCACCATTAAAGAGACATTTTTTAAAGTGTTTGAATCCATAGGGAGCAGCGTTGTATATGCTGGGACCGTGGCTGATCCCAGTGAGTCTGTTCTGCCTGCTCCTAGAGTCACATAGCAGGGACACTTAACACCATCAAGGAGCCCATCTGGAGATCTTTGTGAATCTCCACATTTATGAACATCACCAGAGCATATAATTTCCTCATAAAGCTCAGTAAAGTGTAACTCAAAGACTCAAGTGAACACTCTACACTGACCATGATTCTAGAGCTCTAGCTGAAGTAATTCATAAAAACAGTTGGCTTCCCGCTCATGGCCACTTACCCCAAAGAAACAGATCTGCATGTTTTTCTTCTTCGTCAGATATCACATTTTCACAATAACCCTACGGCCTGCCACATGGCTCAGGATTCACATTCACGCCTCAGGAGATTCATTAAGTGCCTCATAAAGTGGCCCTTTGTAGGCGCTCATGCAGAAACCTCAGATGTTCAGTCCAAGGACGCCTAGGGCCACTTTGAGCACTGTGGTGACTGTGGGGTGGCATGTGCCCTGGTCATGGCTGTTTACCAAACATTAGCAGCCTACACACGGTAGTAGAGCAGGGGAGGCAGGAGGGACTGGGGACTTCAAACCTTGTTGGATCTGGGTTCTCTTCCTCAAGTCCCCCTATGTGCACTGTCTATGCAAGGGCTAGTGGGGGGGCACTGTTGAGCTCCTAGGGAGGCCTCAAGCTGGCCTGGCTGAGTTTTGACCCTGAGCCCATGGGCTGGAGTCTCAGCAGGCCCCTGATGGCTGCTATTGACCAGCTGGCATTTGGAGATGGACTTCTCATCCTAGCCAGCTGAGGTTACTAATGTACATTGCTTCGGGCAACTTGATGGCATGTCAATCTGCACCCAAAATGCTCTTATTCTCCAGGGGACTGATTCATGCCAGCAATGCCAAGTGTTATAAAGGGTCACAGAGGGGTGAGACCACAGGTGGGGACAGACCATTTTTAGGGAAGCTGGGTGTACGCCTTGAGGACACCTGTGCCTTGTCCACGCCCTCTATGTAAGGTGAGCAGAGCTTCTGCTGGTCTCCCTGGGGGCTACTGAGAGGACGGAGAGGAGGCAAGCAAGGGTCCATAAGGTACAAATCACTCGTATTGGCTTATCTATTAAAAAAAAGCAACCTTGATCTCCTGATCTGGGTACAAACTGGGATTCCAGGGGGAGCTCTGAACTCTCGGGCACCTTCTTGATTCCTGATGTCACAGGTCCACAAAATGAACCTTCCCGAATGAATAAAGGAGCGAGGCTCCCTGCCCCCACCCCAGATCCCAGCCAAACCTACTCCCTACTATCGCCTCAAACATGCCCAGTGCTGTCACACACCCTTGCTCACGTAGCTCCCTTCGATGACAATCTTCTATTGGCGCTCACTGAAATCCTACCTGCTCCCTCGGGCTCATTTCAGGACCTCCTCCCTGAATGGATGTGATGTCCCTCTCCTTGGTCCCTGTGCACCCTGCCAGCACCTGGCACCACTCCCACAGGCAGTAGGTGCTCAGTGTGTCTTCCACTGTATGAAGCGTGCCAGGCCCCATGGGCCTGTCAGTGTTTTCCTGCACATGGGAACCCCAGCTCTTACCTTGGGAGTGAACATGTGTAGGATGCCATCGACTGCTCCTCGCAGCAGCAGTCCTCGGACCAGAAAGCAGGCCAGCACCACGTAGGGGAAGAGGGAGCTGAAATACATCACCTGCAGAGAGGACGGGGACCCACCATCAGGCAGAACCCCTCCTGCTCCTGCAGCTTGCATAGCCCTCCCTGCTCACAGGTGGGGCACACAAGACTCCTGGGATACCAGACAACAGACAGCAGAGCCCCGGAGTCCCTGGGCACCAGGCCAACCCATCACCCATCTGGCCCAAGCCCAGGCAGGAGCAGGAAAGGCTGGAGTTCACATGGCTGGCCCAGGGCTTGCTTGCCTCCCAAGGATTGATGGTTTAGGCCCCCATCCTCAAGGCTGCCAAGGGTGAGGGAATCCTATGCTCTCCTCCTCATTTACTCAAGTCTCATGTTCCTGTCCTTAGAGTTCCTTTGACAGAGGCATGCAGGAGGCCACAGACAAGGTTCCCAATCGGATACCATCAGGAAGCCTAGTCCTGTGAGCCCGAGCCCACGCAATTTGCTGGCCTGTGCATGTCTTGCATATTTTTATTGCTCCGTGTGCCTGGTACAGAGCCACATGCAAAGGCTATGCTCACAGGACATCCTGTTCCAAAGCAAATCCAAGGGGTGGGCAGGATGGTGCAAAGGTTAAGAAGGTGCGTGTCCAGAGCCACGTGCCCAAGTTCTGGGCCTGCCTCTACCAGTTGCCGTGGCCTCCAGCCTATGGACTTAACCTTGATGTGTCTTTGTTTCCCTGTCTCTAAGAGGGGTGTGAAAATTTCTAAGGCTCTAAAATTTCCACATAAGGTTGTTGAGGATGACATGTGTTCATATATGTGGCTGTACTGATGAGTTCCACAAAGCATCAGCTACGATTTTGGCCTCCAAAGAGGGGAGAGATCAGTAGCCAGGATGATGCCACCTTAAGGAACTTAGCTTCCTTGCTCGTCAAGTCTGGCCAAGAACCCAAAACCTTGGACAGAACAGGCTCGGGTTCCAGCTTTGAGGCTAATTGGCTGCATGAGGTTAGACGACACACTTGCCCCTCTCTGGGCCTCAGTTTCCTCATCTGTAAAATGAGTGCATGGGGCTACAGGATTTCTAACAACCTTTTCATCCCTGGCAGGGCATGAGTACTGACAGGGGACAAGTAACAAAGGGCCCTCTTCAGAAGGGATCTGATCTGCTGGGGAAAGGTGTGTGGGCCTGGCCAGTGTGCACCCCAAGATGGAGTGGCAATAGAGCTGCCTTCAGAGGCCCCCAAGGCCCCCTTCACTCACAGCACCCACCTGCTCAAACAACCCTATAGTTGTTGACATGTTAAAGTGCTGGTTTTCATCCCAAAATCACTCAGAGCAAGTGACTCTAGGGCTTTGCTTGGGAACCTGAAGGGACAGAATCTAAACAGATATTCCTGAGTCAATGCTTCTATCTTCCTTCTCTTTAATGTCGCAGGGCTGGACTGAATTCTCTGAGCATGAAGGCAGTCAGGGGTCAGGACAACGATCTTCCAGCAAGCCCAGCCCTGGCCTGCTGTTCACAGTGGACAACAACGCAGGTGTTATTCCCACCCCGTCCCTTGGGGGTCAGTGCCATCACCCTGAGCCATCCAGAACATAAGCCAACCGAAGGGCCCTGCACTGGTGACGTGGAGTTCTCAGTCCCCTGTCCTCTTTCTGCTGTCCTCCTCCAACTCACCTTCCCTGAGGACTGGATCCCCTTGACCACAGCCATGCCCACAATGCTCCAGGCCACGAGAAGGCACAGCGTCATCTTCCAGTTGAGGCCCCCGCTCTCAGAGATGGAGTTGGAGATATCCAAGGCCTCTCGGTACCAGAAGTAGGTGGTGGCTGAGCTCTTCTCACATTCTGCCTCCACCACTGAAACAGCAGCAGAGGCCACAGAGGTCAGTGGTGAGGCCCCTGGGGCCACCTCTCCTACTGGACCTCTGCTCAGGGTGAAGGCGTGGCTGAGGGTGGGCAGCTGGAAGGGGCTGTGCTCGTTTCGGGTTAGCCATGATCTGGCAGATCCCGGGGAATCCCAGCTCCTGATGGAGGCTGGGAGGCCACAGGTCATGCTGAGCTGGGTGAATTCCTCCTACACCACCTGCTGCCCACATCTGTCCATAGAAGGTAGTAAGGGTTGAGGTTGAATTGGCCTGAAGGTCCTTGGGAAAGGTCCTAAATTGGGGATTAGAGACCTACATTCACATCCCAGATGTGATATGTTAAATGGATACCGGGGAGATGAGAAAGTGGCTTCAAGGGCCTCAGTTTTCCCATCTGCAAAGTGGGATGATCATCCAGCCCTTTGTAGGACTGGCATGCAAATAAAGATTATTCACACGCAGCCTGGAGTTAGAATAACACAGAATAATCCATATTAACCAAACAAAAATAAGAATTATAGTGTGTTAACTACTCTCATTTAATTCAGTCCTCTAAGCACCACCCTGTGGGAGAAGCCAGAAAGGGATCACTTGCACTGTGGAAATGGAAATGAGGATCAAGGGGGTTAAGTGACTTGTCCAAGGTGACACATCAATGAAATTCCCAATCTGTGCAGTAGGGAGAGAGCTGGCTGAGTCCCCAGCTGTGGCTCAGGAGTCCCATACTTGCCTGCCATGGTCCCATTCCTGATGACAGGACATTCGCTCCAGGGCAGTGGGTACTGGAAGGACTTGAAGAAGTAGAAGATGCTCCATCCGATGATCACGTTATAATACAGCCCAACAAAGAGGCACACCTGAGGACGGGGACCCAGGGCGGGATCCCAGAGGATGGGGGTTAATGACAATGCCAGTCCCACCCAACACTCCATCCCAGGGCCAGCAGCACAGGCCAACGACATAGAACACAGCAGCACAGCCACGAAGGAGGGCGACCAGGGATGAGACGGAGCAGCAGGAGCAGCAGGAGCAGCAAGGACCTGCTCCCCATCCCCCATTCATCTGGCACTCAGGCAACCACAAAAGAATTCTTTGGATATTAAAGTTGTCTTAAATAGACTCTTAAAATGTTAATCCTTTCCAGTTTTGAAATTCCTCTAAGATACTTGAAGCCCTTCCCCACCATTTCCTGAGGACTCAGGATTCTGATTAGAGATGTCCTCCAGGACCAGAGAGGCTGCAGTCAGCTTTTGCCCTTATAGGAAACGGCCCCAGGCGGTTGTGCTTTATGAGATTTTATGGATTGCTGGTTTCCTATGTCTTCCCTTCTCTCAGGATATTACTCTCTCTTTGGTTCTGTTAGCAGCCGGCCTCTAGAAAAACACCACTTTTCATTTCTTGGAAACAAATAACTAAGCTTGGTAGAGTTTTATTTAAAATAAGAGTACATGGAATCTGATGGAGGGTCCAAAGGGTTTCTTTGAAAGTAATGTTTTATGGACAGAGATTTGCAGCATCTGATCTAGATGCTGAGGGGTCCCTTCCAGGGGCCTGGCGGTGGGAAGACTGCTGTTCAGAGTAAGAGCCAAGGGGCCCTTGCTTGGTTCGGTTCACCTGAGTACCTGTGCGCAGAGCAGACGCTTGCCCAGCAGGCTGTGTGGGGATAGAGATGGAGAGAGACGCCTGCTTCCTCTACTTGGGTGCTTTCAGTGCAAGGGGAGACCCGGCACACACTACTGCGTGTGAGTGCGGCCAGCCCAGCAGAGTGCACTGTAGCTGGCCAGATCAACCTGTGCAAAGGCAGTGCCCTGTGGGTGAGTAGAGGCCAGACAGCCCCTCTCCCAGGCTCTCCCTGGAGCAGGTTTGGACTGGCCCTGCCATCCTGCTTAATGGAATCCTTAGTCCCTTCCAGAGCAGATTCCAGTTTCTGTTCCAGGTATGAGCATAGGCAACTGTAGGCTTTGCCCTTAAGGGACACTCAGTTCTTCACCTAGAGCTCTACACGGGGCCTCATCTGCCACCTTGTGGCTGAGCTGGAGGCCTCATGGACTTCCCCTCCCAGGATTCTGAGGTCTCCCTCTCTCCCACTGTTCCAAAGCCTCACCTCTCCTGGGTTGACCATAAGGTTCCTGAGTCCTCCAATGGGGCTCATTTGTGTAGCACCAAGGCTACAGGGCCCTGAGCCTTTTCGGAGTCACTTACATTCCCAGTGGAAACACTGCCTGCCCAAGGAAAGGGGTAGGGCCCTGTTACAGGGAACTGATGGCTGAGAAGCAGAGATAGGTATTTAAAATGGTCTATATGTCCCCCAGAGACCCTGACTGAGATGTCCCAGGGCCTCCCTTGTGAACATATCCCAGCATTGCCTCCTTTGCCTTAGTTGCAAATATCACATTCTGCTTCAGGCAGGGCTGTTGACTTTCAGTGTAGGAAATATGGTAACTGTAGCCCCGAGACACCAGCTGGAAGCCATTCTCCTGTTGGGTGACCCCTTGCTGCCTTTGTCTTGGCCCAGGACTGTGGCCTGTAAACCTCTACCCAAGAGTGGCCCTTCTGTCTCTGGCTTAGTGCCTTCCCCAGCCCTGGACTCACAATGCAGCTGGAAAAGCCAATGCCCCCCAGGCGGGGACACACGTAGTGCCACACACCAATGCTGCCGCGGCGGATCCTTTGGCCCACAGCCAGCTCCAGGAAGAATAGGGGGATGCCAATAATGATCAGCAGCACCAGGTAGGGCACCAGGTAGGCACCTGTGGAGAGAGAGGAGGGGTGTCAGAGGCTGTCTAGAGTACAAGGTCAGAATGAGAGAAGGTGTGGCAGCACGGTCCCCCAGTCTTAATCACATCTCAGATCATCCACTCACTGTCCCCAGTCCCAGGGCCCTTTCATGCCTGTGACCTACCCTACACTGGCTCATTCATACCCTGCTTCTCCTTGACTCCCTCCAGCCTAAAATGCTAAGGGAGGAACATATGTATATCAATACTCCCGCTCACTAGACTCAGCTCAGAAACAGACAGAGGGAAGGACAGACACCTCACTGCGTCTCGGGAACGCATGCATCAAGTCATTTGCAGACACATTCACCTTAGAAAATACTCTATGGACATCTGTTCACACCCCTCCTGCCCATAGGTAAGGAACCCCAGATGGCATGGGCCCTGATCACTTGCCCCCAGTGGCCCTGCCTGCCCATATCTGAGCCAGATGCTGATGCAGCAGACTGGGCAGCTCCAGGGAAGCAGAAAATTGGAAGCTCTCCAGGGAGAGGGGGTCTAACCAGCATCCTCATTAATCCACAGCTAATTGGGAGGAATAGAAGAGAAATTAGCTGTTCAGGAAAGCGTGGTCAGAAGGATCATAAAGGATAGAATGAATCTTGCTAAAGATTCCAGATGATAAATGAATCTTGCTGTCCTAAACCTCACTGCAGACACAATCTCAATTCCAAGTGACAGGGCATTTAGCAGGAGAATTAAAGCCACGCCTGGACATGGACGAATGCACGCCACAGAGAGCTGTGCCAACAACACAGTCCTATTAGCAACACTGTCATCCAGGCCCTGCCTGTCTATCAAACAGTCTCAGGCCAGCCCTAGTCACCAAGGTCCTGATGGTCACGCAGTGCCTGTGAGCAGTCTCCAGATGTCCCCCAGCCTCACTGCTCTGCCCCCTATAACATAACATCTCACATTCTCTCCTATATGTGCCCAATCTGCCAAGAAACACTGGGGATTGGGCACCAAACCTGGCACTTGGCAACAGTCAGCTGTGTACTGCGGGTCTACCCTGTGCCAAGCAGGAAAGTAGGGGGATAGTGGAGTAACAGAAGGCACAGACGCCATCCTTGGGGGAGCTCACAATTTGTGAGGGAGGTTGGGCTCTCAGCTGCACACGGGCAATGTCAGCACTGGTCACACGGAGCCAACTGAGCAGTATGTATGTACATATGAAGGAAGGGGCCGGGTTCTGGGGAGGCAACCCACCGAGTCATATACAATAGTACTGAATTCATCACCATAGTGCACATCAATTCAACATGTCAAAAGCAGCCCCGTCATGGTACTCAAAGAAGGAAGGGCCTGAAGGAACACAGGTAGAGACCCCTGGGTCTGTCTAACTCAACTTCTTGGCCTCGGTGGAAGGAAATGGAAGTAGAAAGAAGCAATCTGCTATAGGAAGGCAAAGGAAGATAGCCTTCCTGGTTTTTTATTTATATGCCCCAATATCCTTGAGAGGGACTACATGTGCAGGGAGATGGGTTTCAGAATATTGGCATCTTCTACAGATGTTTCCTTTCTCTCCTCAACAGTGAACCTGCCTAAACCAGGTACTGGCCTCCTGCTGCTCAGGCCCCATCCACCTCAGTCAGGCAGGACACAGGGGGCTGACCTAGCTGCAGGGTTCTCCACCAGGCTGAGGCCCTGCTGACCAGAGTGCTCAAGGGGCTGTGTGCAGTCTAGGGGAGCTCAATTTGTAGTGTATCAGCCTTTGTTGAAATCATTGGAGAATACAGTAGCACCCTCTTCCATCTCAGAAAACACAACCTGGGGACACAGTGGGTTTGCTTCCATGTTTCAGCAGCTTTCAGGAGCCTCCAGGCGGGACAGCTGGGAGCATTAGGAAATTGAGCAAAATGTGGACGGACTCCAGGTTCTCTGAGGCTCCCTGGATGGCTAGCAATCTATGTCTCAGTCTACACCCAGCTCCTTGGTTCTGGCAAACCCCAGATTTCTTTCCAGAGCTTAAAAGACTACATTGGCCCTAGCCCATTGAGCTATGGATTAAGCAGGAGCCAAGTTCAGATCCTGGAGGCAGACCTCCCAGGCTTGAATCCTGGCTTTGCCACTTACTAGCTTGTAATTTAGGGCAAATTACTTGATATCTGTGTTGCTAGATTGTCATCCGTGTAAAAAGGATGGAAATATTAAGTAGAAACATAAGCAATGGCTGATATTGGACCCATTTTTTACTTATAAAAATGCCATTTCATACACTCTGATGCTCTACCTATCACAGGGCTGTATTGTAAAGAGAAAATGAGTTACTTATCCACATTAAGCACTTAATAAACATTTGCCTCTTTCTCATAAAAATAAACAGAAAAGAGGCAAATTAAGAGGATGCAAAATAAAGAAATTGCCGGCATCTGGTGGAGCTAAGCAGAGTCCCAGATTCCATCCAGAATTAAGCACGGTTTGATTGAATCACCCATGTTTCAAAACCACCGAGTGCCAAGTCCAAGGCCAAACACCTGTCTCCTCCCTAGGACCATGTGCTTCCTGCTCAACATTTAAGGTGACTTGTAAAACCTGTGAGAGGCAGGACAGTTAAAGGTGAGAAGGGATTGCCGGAGCTAGAGAGGAAGGACAAATAAGGGCAGGAACATAGAACATAGAATGGGAGCTCAGAATCCTAAGAGTTGACCACACTTTTCTTCTGGGGGTGTTGATTGCTGACACCGTGAACAGGCGATCTAGGTAAGAACACTGTCCTGAGAGAGTGCACTGTCCTGAGTGTGCACGTGCACGCATGCAGTAGTAAGGGGGACTCTGGGATTCAGCACCAGGTATCCAGGCAGGGTTGGTCATCTAAGCCAGCAAGGACAAGGTTACAGGTTCTGAGTAAGTCCCCAAATGCCAGCTGTGATTCAAAAATTTTTGGTGCCCCCAAGCTCTTCTCGGAGGAAAAGCATAAGGAAGTCAAACACTTTTGTTTATATCTTGCTTTGAGCTGGTCTTATGTCAACATGGTGACCACATCAAAAGCTCTGATTGGCAGTTACTTACGGAAAAAAATCAAAAATGTCTTTCAAGCAAGGGAACCATGTGGTGAATATACTCTACAGTGGAAGCCTCTGGCCTGACTCAGTCATATGAGCTCAGAAGGGCAGCTTCACTCCCTGTCCTTCAATAGAAACTGGGAAGGAGGAGAAGCCCCCAGGCAGACTTTGCCTTTTGAACCAGGCAGAGAATGTGTCCTCGTGTCCTTGTGGAGAGGAGGGGAAGCCGCTGCATGGGGCTGCATTTCAGTGCTGGAGAAGCAATGCCTGGGGGCTTCTGCCCACCCTGGCATCTGGAAGTGGTGATGGTGGTCTGACCCCAGCAAGATCCTCAAGAGAAATTCACACAGGTACAGCATGAGGTCCCCTACGGGAGTGGGGCAGGTGGCAGCAGGTGCCATATGCAGTACACAGGCTGGGGCCAGGTTTTTCAGGTTGAGTCCTAACTATGTCACATGACCCTGAACAAACCACCTAAACAAGCTGTGTCTCAGTTTTGCAGTCTCTACAGCGAGGATGATGATACAACTCCTTCCTCACATAAGATTGTTGGGAGAATCCCATGGTTGTGAAAACAGTAATGTGTTTGTTTCAAGGTGCTCAAATATCAGCAGTTTCAGGCCTAATAGCCAGTGTTTAGAAAATGCTTAGCACCTAGTAGGCATTTGATAATAGTGGCCAACAGGTGCTCTTTATTATGGGTCATGTAGTATATAAAGCTCATTTAATCCTTCCAGCTCCCCTATGAGGCAGGAGCCACTACTCATTATTACCCCCATTTTACAGATGAGGCACAAAGAAGTTAAGCAACTTGCACTAGGTCCCAGACTGGGATCTGAACCCAGGCAGTCTGCAGTCAGAGTACGCATTCTTATCATCATGGCCTACAGCCTCTGGATAGCTATTAGCCACCGTTATGGCTATTCCTGGAATCCTGAATTGCCACCTTACATGGACTCCAGTTCTGCCTCCTTTTCACCCCTCAGCCCAGCCCATTCGCAGGGCACCTTGGTGCAAGCAGGGCAGCCTCTTACCTCCTCCATTTTTCTGGCACAGGTAGGGGAATCTCCAGATGTTGCCGAGGCCCACGGAGAAGCCGATCTGGGCCAGGATGTACTGCAGCTTGCTATTCCAGGCTGGTCGGTCCTCTGCGTCCAGCTCCTCCTCCGCTGCCTTCTGCTTGCCACCTGCCTCACCGGACACATTCAGTACACTCTGCTTATAGTCCACAGGCTCCTCAAGGGCCAGCAGGTCAGCCACTGACTCGGTGACATGTTCATTGCTGTGCTCACGTTGGGTCACCTTGCTGTTCTTCGGCATGGGTGCCACCGGGGCCGTGCAGCCCTGCTCCCCAGCACACAGAGAAGGTGGGACTCAGCTGCTGTCAGCTCTTTCTCATCCAGGGACCTATGAAAACAGGAGAGCAGGAGAGGATTAACTGAGCACACCGGGGAGGTAGGGGACCCAAAGCAGATACAACCTGATCAACTCCCTGGCACACACTCTGAGGCTGGACGAGGGCCTCAAAGGTTGAGCTTGCCTCTCCTTCCCATCATGCCCCCATTGCAGAGTTCAAGGTCTGCATGCTCAGTTTTCCCAGAGATCCCCTCTGAGCATAAGAGAAAGGTAAACTTAATGGGGCAAAGTGGGCAAACCCATCCACTGAGCAGGAGTAAAGGGTCACCCATCATGCCACTGCCCTTTTCATACTGCAGAGCTGAGAGTGTTCCAGACCCTTGGGAGACCCCCACAGCTTTCCCCCTTCCAGGCTGACCTACCTGTCTGGTATTCTATTGAGCTAAAACCACTTGGTGGGACCCAGGAAAACCAGTGTCTGCCTTTTCTGGGGTCTTTCTATTCAAAATATAGTCCATGGACCAGTAGCATGACCAGGCGCTTGATAGAAATGCAGAATTTCAACCCCACCCCAGACCTACTGAATCACTCTCTGCATTTTTACAGGATTCCCAGGTGATTCAGAGAAACATTAACATTTGCACCTCACCCCCACCAAAAAAAAAATGTAGTGCCCTCACAGTGGGGCCCCTGGGTGCTACCAAGGCACCTTCATTTCCTTGGCAGAAACAGCTGACCAGGCTCGGTTAAGGATTCTGGCACCAGAGACCTAGAAGTATTTGCTTGGTGCCAACAAATCCTGGGTCATTGCTCAACGTTGACATTATCTGAGGGCCACTGCAGCCAGGAGCTGGTTCTCCATCCTTCAGAGACAGTTTTACGGCAGATAATGTCTGCACAACACGGGTGGGGAGGCAAAACCCTCCCCTGCTCCAGCAGGTCCTCATTTGTCATTCATGCCTTCCCTTAAAGAAATAAAGCACCAAGAAAATGAATCCTTGAAGAATTCTAACACCCGCTATATTTCAAGGCACCTCCTCATTAAGGGGAGGTTGGAGGATTTAAAATTAAACACACACACACACACACACACACCCCAGTCGGTAGTTGCCCTGCATCTTTCTAGGGATGTAAATTATCCAGCTCTGTAATTACTTTATTAAGAGAACGAGCTGTCCCTGGAAGCCGGGCTTGCTGCTTATTCTCCTCCTTCTACATCTGTGCCACCTGAATGGCACAGGCAAGGTTGCTGGGCAGCAGAAGGGCACAGAGGTACCCTTCCTGCTAGCCTAGACCCAAAATTCCTGGCTGACTCTAATCAAAACCTGACCTTTGAGGGAATCCAGCCAGCCAGGTCCTGCTACACATGTGGTGAAGCTGTGAGGCCCAGCAGGTGGGGATAATTGTCTATGCTGGTCCTTGGGATGGACTAGCCCTCCCCAGAGGGATGGATCATATTAGCAGGTGACACTTCCCTGCCTTCTTCACCCAAGGGCAAGAGTGAATCTTCAGCAATATGCCCTTCCACCCCGGGAACAGTCAGGGTCTTGGGCTTTGGTGGAACGGAGACAGAGCCAGCCTGCCTAAAAGACCTCAGGATCCCCTTTAAAAAGCTCTCTACTGGGACTCCATTGTGGGTCAGCTGAACATCCCACTGTATCCTGGAGGGTGCCCCAAAGTGGCACTTAGGTGTCTGTGAACCCTGTGGCCCGCAGCCTCCCTCCAGGGCTGCTGTGTTCCTCATGCTAGACAAATAAAGGGTTATAAAGGGATTTGTGCAATAGGAGGCCTGTGTTCTGGCCTAGGATGTCAGTTTGAATCCCACCCTGACCCCACCCAGGAGGTCCCTGTCCCCAGGGTGCTCAAATAGAAACCATACACAAGGGCTGCTTCTCTGGGCACTGCATCCTCCTCCTGAGCTCACATGGAGAGCTTTTATTAAAGACTGGAGCTGAGGCACAGGGTGAGGATCCCTCTGGAGACTGCAGGCATGGGGGTGCCTTGGCTCCGAGCCTCTCTCTCACTATTCTGCCTACAACAGGATTTGATCAGAACAATCTGCAATGCATTAGGTCTGATTTAATGATCATCAAGCCACAGCTGGAAAAGAAGCAAGGGAGAGTCCCCCTAGTCTGCAGAATTCATCTTGATGCTGGCCAATTGAAACACACATTTCCCCATAAATAGCCTGGTGAGTGGCAGCTCGGTCACCAACATGAGCAAGGGTTGGATGGAAAAAAGCACTCTTTTAAGCTAAGAGGACTCAAGGACAAAGTTAGCACATTCTGGAAAAGTCAGAGAAGGACACTGAAAGCAGCATCCGGGCAACCACAGGTCCACGCTTAATGCTGTATAAGCTTCCTCCTTTTCCCCACGATGTCACTGAGGTGTCTGAGCATCCTGCACTGCAGGATGGGGGCCTAGGGAATCCCTGTGTCATCAGATTTGCAAGATGCAAAGGGCTGATGTGAACTTGCAAGCTGAGGTTCTGGGTTATAATCACAGTTGGGAAGTGCCCGGTGACTGGGACTATGCCCAAGTAGCAGCAGAGCCACATTCTGAGAAATAAAAGCTTGAGGAATCCTAGCAATTCCCCCACTTTACATATATGGCAACTGAGGCCCAGAGAGAAAAAGAAAATAATGGCTCAGAACTACTCAGGTCCTCCTGACACCCTGATTAGAGTCTCCTCCAGGGAGTTTCACCTACTGAGTTGGGCTCAGTAAAGACGGAAACAGAGAGAGGGCAGATGGGTGTAGGGGTTTAGGGCAAGGACTTCGAAGTCAGACAGGCTAGGGTTTGAGAGTTCCCATTCATTCATTCACTCACTCACTTGCTCACCCAAGTGACTCCCATATACCATGATCTTTCTAGGGGCAAGGGATACAGCAGTGAACAAAAAAGGCCATGTGTCCCTCTTGTGGAGTTCACAAGAGAGCCAGAAACTAAGAAATAAACGTCAAACATAACGGCCAGGGGTGATGTGTGGTCCACATAGAAATAGCAAGTAGGAGTGGGGGAAATGGCAGGCTGTTCCTTTATGCTGGGGGTGGGGAGGCCAGGAAAGGCCTCTCGGTGACATTGGAGCAGAGGCCTTAATGACAGGAAAGAGCATTGGCTGAGAAAAGAGCCTACTGAAAGGAAGCAGTATGAGGAATTCCAGGAACAGCAAGGTGGCCGGAGTCACCAGAAGGGAGCGGCAGAGAGGGCTGGCCCCTGGAGACCTTGGCCACGCACTAGCTGTGTGCTCTTTGGACAAGGCACAAATCACGGGAGCATCAGTCTCCTTGTGAGGAAAACAATTACATCTAATGACATTTCCCTTCTCTCTCTCAGGGAAGGCTGCTGAGAGGAGCCAATGAGTTACCACAATTGAGTGCCTGGCATACAGCTAGGCACACGGGGAGGATCCAAAGGGTAGAGGCTGCTGTCTGGAGGCCTGGCATTATTTACCTTTATCCATTTAAAATATGTAAGTGCCCATATCTACATCTGGACACAGAAATCCCCGCTCCCTCTTAAGGAAGGGCCAAGGAGACGTGGGATTCGAAGACAGGAGGTAGACAGAAGCATTTTTCCTCACCTCAGAAACGTCTACTTGGGTTAGCAAGAACTGGCTTCCTCCTGGGGCTGCCGGCCAGCACCTTACAAAGCCCTGCCACTCACCATACCCCAGTGGACGAAGGAGCGAGGTACAGGGCACATTGAAAAGATAGACAATAAAATGTAAATAAAAATAAGGCCTCAAGTGAAAAGTTGGGCATTACTATTAATAATAAAAATACAGTTCAGACATGATATCTGTAATCATTTGAAACCACTTAACAACATTTTCTTTCTTTCTCAAGGTACCAGTGATGGAAACCAGGGGTACTTAACCACTGAGTCACAACTCCAGCTCTTTTTATTTTTTTATTTTGAGACAGGGCCTCACTAAATTGCTGAGGCTGATCTTGAATTTTTAATCCTCCTACCTCAGCTTCCCAAGCCCTTCAGATTACAGGTGTGTGCCCTCATGCCTGGTCCACTTAACATTTTTACATGTTCTACTGGTACAGAATAGAGTAGTGATCCTGCTCATCAATTGTTCAATCTGAGTTTAAATCCCAGCTTCACTCTGTATCAAGTGCTTAGTTTCAGTTTCCTCACCTGTCCCAGGAGCTCCAAGTGCCCCCTAAGGCTGAGAGGAGGGTAAATTGTGCAGGTCCTAGGGACCCCCAGGGGTCTCTCACAAATGCTTCCTCTTCTTGGGCTTTCGCTGGATTCACACTGTCACTGCTGCCAGGGAATTAAGCTGGCAGTTGCCTTCACTCCAGGTGACAGATGGGGGTGTCAAGACCAGGACAGTGCAGACTGTGGTGCTCAGCACCCAGGTCTCCCTGCTTCTGGACTCTCTCCATGCCCCAAGCTGAAAGGCTTCTTTAAAGGGGAAGTGGAGGCAGCAGAGACTTGGAACAACCCTCCCTCTCCCCAAGCCTCACTCCTGGTCCTCTGAAGCCTGGAATGCACGTGCTAGTGAAAGAACAGCTTCCAGATCAGAGCACAGGAATGCAAAGAGCATCCAACCAATAACCCCAAAGTATAGCCTGGGACAAGCACAAGCCTTGCCTTTGCATCCCATAGAGCCAGCCACAATTCAGGCATCAACCAGCTCTGCAGACTGGTACCACTGCCCTGACCTCCCTGGACCTCCATTTCCCTGTGTGTAAAATGGGTTGGTCTGGATGACATCTAAGGCCCCTTTCAGCTCCAGCATATATCCAGCAAGTGCCCCTCCTGCATGTGGGTATGAGCAAGGCATCTCCTGCCTCTGGCACCAGGTGATGCAGACTCACAGTACATCTGTCCTGCCCCCTCTGTCAGCTGAGAGCCAGCCGGAGCATCGTGAAGATGTGCTGACAATCAGCCCAACCATATTCTCATTATCCCCCTGTAGTAGCTGAGGTGGGTTGTAAAGTTGCGCTCACGAGCAACACGTCAGATGATGGAGGTGCATGGTACTCTCTGAAAGGAACGCCTCAATTACCTAAAGCACGATGCAGAGGGGCTTG